CGTGGCTTGGGCAGTAACCTGGAGATTATAACCCTTGAGGACCTGCTCTTTAATTTGGTCCCTAGCTCCTGATAATCCCCGAACAAGTCCTCTTTCATAATCTTGCCTATGTTGTTTGTTCCGACATGGACCACAACAACTGAATCTTCCCACTCCCTTGCCAATATCCTTTCAAGCCGGTAAGAGATATCCCTTACCCTAGCACCGGACAGGCAACACACCGTGCAAGACTCTCGATCCTGTTTACAAAGGATACTGTCTATTCCCCTAATTATAGAATCCCCGACAACCGCCACTTGTCTTTTTGCTCCCCCCTCTTGAATGGCCTCCTGTGCCACAGTACAGTGGTCAGTTGGTTCGTCCTCCCTTCAGCCCTTTTCCTCATTCACACAGGGAGTAAGTACCTTGTACCTGTTGGTCAAGGTCAAGAGCTGAGGCTCCTCTGTCCCTGACTGCAGGATCCCTCTGCCTGCCCCGCTTGCAGTCACCCCTTGCTGTCCCTGGCCACTGACAGATTAAGTACCACAAATTCAATCAGGTATGACTGCCTCCTGAAACACAGCATCCAGGTACTTCTCCCCTTCCTGAATGTACTGCGGTGTTTGAAGCTCCGATTCCAGCTCATCAACTCTGAGCCGAAGTTCCTCAAGCAACCAACACTTACTGCAGATGTAGTCACCGCCGTTCGCAATGGGATCAGCCAGCTCCCACATCATACAACTACAACACATCACCTGTCCAGCCATTTCTACTTAGTTAATTACTTTATTAATTTATACAATTTTCTTATAATGTCTAGGCCAAAGAGGAGCAGGGTGGAAATCATTGAGGTGTAATGCTGGGCTTCAGGGATGAGGGAACATAGTTGTAGGCCAATGTGTGCTCTTCACATGGGGGGAGCATGCATGGAAATGGGCTCTTGGCTGGTATAAGATGAAAGGGGACATGAAGGTTTTGAGCTTTTTTGGGGAGGGGTGTTCCTGGCCACCAGGTGTGACCCATTGCTGATGTTGTCCATCGTGAGCTGCAATCCCTGCCGTCACTTTCCGTTCCCTGGCTGTGAAGTGCTACTAGAAAATGCGTGGGACGTTGCCATGCTGGGTAGAGTAAGTGTCACTTTGATGGGCAAAAGCACAAGATCCATGTTCAGTAGATGCTAGGACATTGAAGGGACAACTACATGAATTTGCAAAACTGTTTGGATGGTGTTGTTCAAAGACCCGTGGTAAATTTCTCCAGCACTCTTGTAGGTGGTACTCGCTGCAGTGGCTGAATATTGGCGGTGGAGAGTGTGGATCTTTGTGGATATGGTGCCAATCATGTGGGCTGCTCTGTCATAACTGGTGTCAAGCTTCTTGAGTGTTTTGGAGCTGCACTCACCTAGGCAAGTAGGAAGTATTCCATCACACTCCTGACTTGCACCTTGTAGGCGGTGGACAGGCTTTGGGGGCCAGGAGGTGAGTTATTTGCTAAAGGATTTTTAGCCTCTGACCTGCGTTGTAGTCACAGTATTCATATGGCTAGTGCAGTTCAGTTTCTGGTCAATGGAAACCTGAAGGATATTTGGGGATTAAATCATAGTAACGCTACTAAATGTCAAAGGATAATGGTTAGACTCTTTCTCATTGGAGATGGCCATTACCTGGAATTGTGTGGTGCAAATGTTCCCTGCCACTTTTCACCCCAAATCTGAGTATTGCCTAGTGTTGCTGCGTTTGGACTGCTTCAGAATCTGAAGAGTAGCAAATGGCTAAACATTGTGCAATCATCACCAAGCATCCCTACTTCTGATTTTATGGAGGGAAAGTGAAACAGCTGGTGATGATTGACAAGATACTCCCTGAGGAACTTCTGCAGAAGAATGGAGATGATTGTCCTCCAACACTACAACCGTATTCCTGTATGTCAAGTATTGTTCCAACCAGAGGATTTTCCCACAATTCATATTGGCAGCAGTTTTGCTAGGGTTGTTTGATAACGAAACTTAGTTAAATGCGGCTTGATGACAACGGCAGTCATTCTTACCCTACCTCTGGAGTTCAGCTGTTCTGTCCATGTTTGAACTGAGGTTGTAATGAGGTCAAGAGTTGAGTGGCCCTGGCAGAACCGGAACTGGGCATCAGCGATTGTTAAATAAGTGCTGTTTGACAGCATTGTTGATGACACATTTCATTGTTTTACCAGTGCTTGATAGTAGGCTCATGATGGTGATTGAACAGGTGGTATTCATCCTTTGTGTGTACAGGACATACCTGAACAATTTTCCATATTGCTGGATAGATGCCAGTGTTGCAGATGTACTGGAATAGCTTGACTAGGTGTGCAAAAAGCGATATGTGTATATGGCTTCAGTACTATTGCCAGAATGTTGTCAGGGTCCACATCCTTTGAAGGATCCAGTGCCTCCAGCCATTCTTTTTGGTATTATGTGGTGTGTGTTGAATTGGCTGAAGATTGGCACCTGTGATGCTGCAGACCTCTGGAGGAGGCTGAGATAGATCATCCACTTGGCATTTCTGCGTGAAGATTGTAATGAACATTTTCAGTGTGATGTGACTACAGAAACTGGCCATTTATTCAGGCATTTTCATACATTGGCTTACAAGATGAGATAAATTTCCAGACATTTGGATCCAGATTACATAGGAAAATTCAGCACCTAGAAAGACTGTGGCCAATCTGTCCTGCTCCAAAAACCTCTTTCTATTAATTAATGATCCCTTCAAATATCCATCTTCAATTTTTTTTTCCTGCACACATTTTCCACACGCTGTGTAATTGTCTAAACTATCTGTAGTTCAGGTTTTTGAAAATATTAACAACATCATTGGGATCTGATTTCTCTGTAGCTTCAAGAACCCTCTGTAATATATACCCTGAACCTTCTACAGAAACAATGTGGGCTTGGACTTTGGATATGAAAAAGAAAGGTAGATATTTGAAAAAAAAACAGATAAAGTAACTAAAGGCATAATTAAAGAAGTAGTTGACCTTTGAACTTGAGTAAGATGCAACAACACCTAGAATATGAGTAGTGCATAAATGTTCAATCTTGGGGGAGCATGTAGGGTTGGAGTAGGTTGAAGAAGGAGCCTCTGAAAGAAATTATAAATGGTGAGAATTGTAATATTGTTACTGTGCCAACAGAAATCAGCATGTATTAGGTAGTGGGCAAGTTGGAATTTGTACTAGACAGATCTAGGACTAGGTGACTTAAAACGAATTTAGGAACTAGGGCCAGTAGGTTCTGTAGTTACGGATGTGGTAGAAAAATATTATGATGGTATGAGTAGATGGAGTTTTGATAATGGACAACATGTGCTGTTTGAAGATCAAATATTAATACTCCTATAAAACGGAAATAGCATCAATTTTACAGTGATTCTTCACCTTAACTTTCAAAGCCATAATTCCAGTGTACTTGGGATGGATTTTGATTTAGTTTAATCATGTAACACAGGTGATAATAATTTGGCAGCCTCATTTACATTTCTTAAACTTTATTTCCATGACTTCAAATATGTGAACAATTATACAACAATCACCTTTTTGTGTAATGACATGCATATTGCAGACTGAGGTTAGGACTGTTTTCTACCCTGTTGTCATGTTTTATCCTGATTACATTGCATTTAATACCTTTGTATAGTACTACTTTGTCTAACAAAATTTACCATTCCTTATTTATAAGACCATAAGAAATGGGAACAGGAGAAGGCTGTTCAGAAAATCGAGCCTGCTGTACCATACGATAGGATTATGGTTGATCTGAAATTCCTCTCATCCATTTTCCTGCTTCTCCCTGTAATCCTTAATTTCTCTACTGATCAAGAATCTGACTATTTCAACCATAAATATACACATTGAGTCTGCCCCACAGCTCTCTGTAGCAAGGAGTTCCAAAGACGCTGAACCTGCTCAGAAGAAATTCCTCCTCATCTCAGTCTTAAATTGGCACCCCTTTATTCTGAGACTTCTCCCTTTTGGTCCTAGATTCTCCCATGAGGGAAAACATCCTGTCAGCATTTACCCTGTCAAACCCCTCAAAAATCCTATATGGTTCAATGAGATCACTGCTCATTCTTCTAAATTCCAGTGAATAGATTCCCAACCTGCTTAGCCTTTGCTCATAAGATGATCCCTCCATATGAGAGATCATTCCAGTGAACCTTCTTTCAGTTGCCTCTAATAAGATAATATCTTTCCTTAAATAAGGGAACCAAAACTGCTTTCAGCACTCCAGATGTGGTCTCACCAGCACCTTGTACAGTGTGGTAAGACTTCCCTACTCCATCCCCTTTGAAATAAGGGCCAACCTTCCATTAACCTTCCCAATTACCTGCTGCACCTGTGTGCTAGCTTCCTGTATTTCATGCACAAGTACCCGCAAGTCACTTTTGTGCTGCAGCTTTCTCTATCTAAATAATATTCGGTTCTTTTATTCTCCCTTCAAAAATGAATAACTTCCCATTTTCCATTATTTCCATTCGCCAACTTTTTTACTTGACCTATCAATATCTTTTTGTAAACTTTATGTATCCCTCTTGCAACCTGCCTTTCCATCTATTTTTGTATCATCTGCAAATTTGGCTACAGTACATTCAGTTCCTTCCTTCAAGTCGTTAATTATATTATAAACAGTTGCAGTCCTAGTACTGATGCCTGTGGGATCCCATTAGTCATGGGTCGCCAATCTGGAAAAGAACTCCTTATCTCCACTTGCTATTTCTTGCCCATTAGCCAATTCTCTATCCATTCCAATACTGTATTTGCAACACTGTGGGCTCCTATGACTAAACCTTTTGTGAGGTACTTATAGCCAACTTTCAAGTTTCTTTGCCTTTCCTCGTAACTCAGTGCTAGGAATCCATTGTTCTGGCTTTTGTTTTTGCACGCCCTTCAGAACTTGGTTATCTTCCTTCTGTCTCTGTGACTGATGCAGACACAGTCTGGTCCCAATAAATAGCAACACAAACTTGTGTTTGCATTTATTTCTGCAGCAACTGGCTTCTTGGATAGAGTTATGCATCCTGTTTCAGCAAGCGGTGGACAGATGTCTCAACAAGTGTCTGAGCAGACAGTTTCGGAGGCCGAGGCTCAAGAGCTGAGACAGGTGAGTGTGTTCTGCTCTATTTGGATATTTTTCATTTATGGGCTTAATACTATGTGATGGGCATACCCTTGAAGTTCATTGCTTGAGTAGTTTCTATTAAGTAACTGAATACATTGCACATTTTTTTGGGCCATTGTCACTTCTTTTACTATTGATCACAACTATTTCTTGGAGTTGTATATTTAGTCTAGATAAGAAAGAGGAGATGGCACAATCCAACAATGTCACGGACCATGACAAGACAATGCAATTATCTGTGACTTGTCCTCCCTGCTTGACTGTATATCTTCAATAAGTGGAGAGTCATTGCCACAATATTTCATTCTTTTGTTCAGATTTTCTCATTCTCTTTCTTGCACGTACTTTCCCTTACTCTTCCTCATTCAGTGAAATGCATGGTAAAAAGTTATTATACTCCTAGCTTTTAAGATATAAACTTTATTCAATGTGGATTCTTTTAATTTGATTTTTCCTTTTTACAAAGTGCAGAATGTTGAACAGTGTATTCAAAAACTAACTCACTGTCTAAAGGAAACAAAAGAGCGCATCTCAGATGAAGAAAGGTTTAAAAATGAACATCCTAAGAGCATCAAAGTGATTCCCGAATTGAATGGGTCTTTTTTTAAAACAAAGAAGATTATTTTCTAACTCCCTCCGGATGAATGTTTTCAAACAATAAAACAAGACATAGCTAATCAACCTAAGACCACCACCATGTTTGGAAAAGGAGTGTGAGCAGTTTATTCTAATCAGTCCTAATGCTGAATGCAACAGTCAGTTCTGTTATGGGCAGGGGGAGGGAGAACAGAAATCTCTGTTTGCTTCGCAATTGTCCCTAATCAGTAAGCCTTTAAGAGGCAGATGCACAAGTATGTTAGCCCCTGCTGAGTGAACTGGTCAACTAAGCAGTGTTTTGGTGATTTTAACTTGGGTTACATAAGTTTATTTACACACTCAATCTGAAATTTAATGCTGCTGATTTACCACACAGTCTCTCTCCCAAAAGCACATTCAAAGAAAGTAAAGGTGAAGAGAAAACACCCTCTAACCATCACCTCCTGCTTGCTGTACTCAACTGCTTGTGGATCCAATTTGCCAAATTTCCTTTGATCCAAAAGGTTATTACCTTTGCTATCAGTACCCCGGTGGCTCAGTGGTTAACACTGCTGCCTCACAGCGCCAGGGACTCTGGTTCAATTCCACCCTCGGATGACTGTCTGTGTGGAGTTTGCACATTCTCCCTGTGTCTGCATGGGTTTCCTCTGGGTGCTCCGGTTTCCTCCTACAGTCCAAAGATGTGCAGGCTAGGTGGATTAGCCATGCTAAATTGCCCATAATGTTCAGGGATGTGTAGCTTCGGTGGATTATAGCGGGATGGGTCTGGGTGGGATGCTCCAAGCATCGGTTTGGATTTGTTGGACTGAAGGGCCTGTTTCCACACTGTAGGGATTCTATGATCTGTGATCTCAGCGGGACCTTATCAAATGCCTTGTTGAAGCCCAAACCAATTACATCAAAAGCATTGCTCCATTTACACACCTGGTCACGCTTTTGCAAAATTCGATCAAATTGATCAAACTGGAACTCCCCTTGACAAAACTAACTGTTCTTGATTAATCCCTGCATCTTCAAATGCAGACTAATTCTTCCTAATTGTTTCCACACCACCAGAAAATACTAGTATGCAGGCACTCTATGTAATCAACAATGCTAATGGTATTGTTGTCTTTTATTACAAGTGGAATTGAACATAAAAGTAAAGATCTTCAATGTTAGTTACCAGGATTAAAATGAGACCATGTCTCGAATGCAGTGTATATTTTTGGTCTCCTTAACTAAGGAAGATGTAAATTTATTGGGGGTGACTCATAAGGAATTAACTTGCTTGATAACTCGGGGATGAGGATGGTTTGCACAATCTGGGCCTGTTTCCACTCGAGATTAGAAGATTGAGAAGGTAACTGAAATGAATAAGATCATGAATGGCCTTGACAAAGTGAATGGGGCAAGGATATTTTCTCTTGCTGTTGAGCTCAGAAGTAGGGGACACTGTTTCCATTTTGGGGCTCCAGTTTTCAACTTAGGGGTCCCCTTTCATCACGGAATTTTTTGTTCTGAGCATTATGTGACTTTGAAACACTCTGCCTCTCACAGCGGTGGAGGCAGGGTCATTGAATATTTTTAAGACTTAGGCAAATAAATTTGTTAGGCCGATGAATCAGGGGTTGACGGGCTAGATGAGAATGTGGCCTTTGAAATATGAACAGATAAACCATGTTCTCATTGAGTGACAGAGCAGATTCAAGGGGCCAAATAGTCCACTTCTATTCGTACATCAGTATTGGCAAGTTTCTAGTGATATGTCTTTTCTTTTGAAGACATTGACTCCTAATTTAAGAGCTGTGTTATTGTGCATCTCCCAAGTAGCCATTCTTCATCTGCAAGATCAGGTAGTTGAAGGTACTATCTGTGTGTGGCATTGCTTTACAGAAAGGTCTTCTGTAGCCATGCTCATTAATATCTGTTAACTTAGTTTGACCACTACTGTTGTACTTAATCAATATCTAACACCTAATTGTAGTTTAAATTTCTATATTTCTCCATGCCCTTTTCATTCAATCAAGAGAAAGAACTTACATTTATAGAGAATCTTTCACAACCTCACCATGTCCAAAGCATTTTGTAGCCAATGAAGTACTTTGAAGAGTGGTTGCTGTTGTAATATGAGGAAAGGCAGCAGCCCATTAGTAAAATTAACATTTTTATTGAGGTTGATTGCAGGATGAATATTGATCATGATTCCTAAATGCCACCATGAAGGCCATCAGCCAGACCTAGCTCAGCATTTTATCCAATATCTAGCAGTGCAGAACTCCATCAGTATTGCTGTAAGTGTCTGAGTGAGGCTTGAACCATAACTTTCTGACTTATGTGTGACAGTGTTAACAGTGAGCCATGGCTGACAGAAAGGTGTGATTAGTTTTTTTCAGGTCAATGGTTCAGGTCAAAATTACCTTTCTTGCAGAGAGTGATTTTCTGCTAAGTTTCTTGAGTACAAATTTAAAAGAGTCATCGCGTTAGGAGTACACAAAAGATGGCATGGTGAGGAACCAGACAGTGTAACTCATTAAACAGCTCTTTCAAAGAGCTGGAACAGAATCAATGGTCTGAATGATTACCTCCTATGCAGTAAGCTTCTGTAAAATTAGCACAGTCTTTGTGGGCCTCTTTTTTTTCAAAAAGTAAAATCTGGTGATTTGTTCCATTGCTGTCTCTGGGATCTCGCTGTTTGCAAATTGGCTATGTGTGTACGAAATTTACTTACATTGCAATTAAGACTATATTTACTTTGTGCTTTGCTTGGGGACATTGAACTGTTGAAACCTACTATGCACATTCAAGTTAATTCTCTCTGTTCAGCTCTTGTTCTGTTTTGAACTCTCCGTACCCTCTTTCACACTGAAGCACAGTATATCAGATTCTGTGAAGAAGTGATTGATAAAACTAGACACCAGAGGGCTCCAAATGCATTCTGTAAGTGGACCCGCTGAAATATTGAACTTATTTAATGCTCGGTAAATCTTGGTTGGGCTGCAGTAAATTTTTCCTCTTGCTGAATAGCTGCAGGAGTATAAGAGTCGTCATGTTTGCAGAATCATTAGACTTCATTGTGCTGAACTGATGCTCTTCATTTCTATTTAAAACTGGAGTTGTGTGTTTGACTGGGACACGAAGAAAACTTCAGCAAACTGAGCCAAAATGCTGCAAAGAATTTAAAGAGATACTTCCTGAAAAATGATGACTGAGCAATTATTCTGTACAAGTATCTTTTTTTATTTAAACTGGTTATGTACTGAAAGTAAGAGACTGAAATAGTAATAGGATCCATGCCATTCTGGCTAGAAAGGTTAAAATCTTTGATTCAGCTATTAAGTAAGCTAGTAAGCAACAAAATATATACAAACCGAATATCATAGGTAAAATGATTAGAGAAGGACAGCTAGGGACTAACTACCAGTACAAAACTGATGAGGAGCCTGGAATAGGTCTAGGGGGTGTGTTTCAAATATTATGTAAAGGTACAGATTCAAGATCACCTTAGTTTGATTGTACTGCCCAAATGGTCACTTGTTGATTTTAAAAGCTATTGGGTTTCCTGTGGTATAGCCCATTTCATAAATTTAAGAGATTGGTAGAAGTTTCCAGCAGACTTGAAAGATGTGATGATGTGGATGGAAAAGGGTTTCAATTGGTGTGCTGGAACATTTGGTTTTGCATTGCAGACCTATTCAAAGCAAGACTGTGGATGTGGGATATTGCCTGTAATATATATAAAAATCATGGAATGGAAATGATGCAGAAGGACTAAGTCTTGGTGCATATGTCTTGTTCTGTTGGTCTGTTGGTTTTCTTCCATGTGCAAGGGTAACCAGAGAACACACATTTAAGAGAATTACAAAGAGAATCAGTGACAATTTGAGAATTATTTTTACAAAGTCTGGTGTTGTTATCTGGAATGCACTAACTGAAGGATGCAAATTTAAGAAGAATTTCACTGGGAATTCACTGAAGATATTCAGTGCAGTGGAGGAGAAGGGAGGGAAGTGGGACTAATTAGTTTGCTAATTGGATCACTGAAAGCATGATGAGCTGAATGGCTTCCTTCTGTTCTATATTATTCTAGAGTACTTGCTTCTCTTCCCCTTTTTCTATGCCATCCTCCTCTTTCCTCTCTCCTTCCCTCCCAACAGGTTTGATGTCTGTCAGCTTTTTTGAACCCCTAGGTGACAAATGCACAATTTTACTCTTTTAATTTGAGCATTGCTGGTTGGTTTGTTTGACATCTCTAACTGGTCGTGTGTGTGTGTGTGCATCCCTGTCTTGAACTGAGTGACTTGCTGGACCGTTTCAGAGCAGTTAGTCCTCAGCTGCATTGCTGAGAGCCTGGAGTCACGTGTGGGCTAGTACAAGGAAATTGGATTTCCTTCCTTAAACGGACA